AAGAGTGCGAAAGTAGAGTGGGCACATCGCTAATAATTGGACATGTCATTAATAATGTGGACGTGGAATCCAACGAAAGCGAGAAAGAGAAAACGGAAGACGAGATATGATATAAAAGAATGTTTTGATGAATCTATATAAATATGAGATCATATCGCAAATATGCAGAAGAGAATTCTCGATGAAAGCAGCGTTGGATTTTTCCAAATAGCGTGCGATTGAATGTCTTTTTTTTTATCGAAGAAAAAAGTTAGGAAGATTTATGCAAATACAATTCGGAAGATGTACTCGTATCGAGTTACTGAGAAAATTCGATATTCAATAAAATTGTAGATAATTGTTCGAGGATAGAGCGTTTAAAAATTAAAAATTAAAGAATCGAGAAATACATAATGTACAAATCACATGGTTCAATATGTATTATTGTATCTGTTTCACTTAATCATTTATGGGAAAAATGTCAAATATCTATTCTCCAACTTTGCGAATTCATGGATTATGGAAGCAGAAACATTTTATCGTTCGCACCTGTGTACCACATTGTACTTTTATCAATAATTCATTTTTTAAAGACTACATTAAAAATGATTGGAATTTCTAAGACTCCTATAATTGATTTTGAACCGACATTTTGCAATTATATAATCAACATTAAATTAATACGATACAAAAAACTATGTACACAATCGCATCCTACATAATCGCACTCTTGAAGATTAAAAGAAAAAAAGCTCGTGTTTCGATTCTCTTCTCTTCCGTCCATTACCCTGATCAAAAAGATTTCGTCCGTCGATTGTGAAAAGTAAAGAACTTCGAAAGACGTTGGAGCATAGATATATCGTCATTTCGTCGGAGGATAATCGAGCAAAATGCATCGTCCAGTATTGCATGCAGTTTCTGGAGCAGTAAATCTTCCGTTGTTCGAAAACGCATCGACATACAATGCGGGCTGATCCATTCATCTCTCTGAAACCTGTCCTCTGCACGATATCGCTATTAATTCTCCCGTTTTTGACGAATGGGACGGAATAGCAAATGAAAAACAGCATGTGTGCGTTAAGTACAGTGCGCGAAAAGATTGAGTTGAATAAGAAATTAAAATGGTAAGAATAAACTGCAAAGTAGCATTTAAAAAAGTTTGCATAGTAATATTAATTCAATATATTCACTAACTTCCAGAGAAAAATACATTTTAATTTAGAAATGATAAGTTCAGAGAAAATGAAAAGAAGAAGATGTAATTAAACTATAGATCTGTTTAGGTTTAACAAGATTGAAAAAAAACTGCTCATTAATGAACGCGACTGCGTAAAAGAATTTCTGAATACGATAAGTAATCTTCTGCATCGCGCGCGGTATTCTTTTAGACCAGTATTCGTTAAAATTCACTCCCGCGACGAGGTTTACAGTATCCGCAATTTTGAAACGAATGGATAGACAATACGGTAACAGAGACAATTTAACGAATGGGACACAAGTATGTCGCATGCCGTCGCCCGAAGGGATGCACTTGTTTGAGTCGGTGTATCTATCATACAGCTGCAGTTGCAGCCTCCATCTTGGAGGCTCAAACGCCGGAAAATCCGTCGGTGGATACACACGGCTCTGTTAATCTCCCTTCGTGTGGAAGTGGGTCGGGAAACAATGGGATCCGTCTCTCCCATCTCTTGCCGTCTTCTCCACGAAGATTGTGTGTCTTTCCATCTTCCTCCTCCTACACCTTTCTCTTCTTTCCACCTCCGGCTTTTCCTCTCGAATCCACCATTCATCCGTTCGACTATTCTATCTCGTCAACCTTGCTCGAGTGGCGGTATAGAATGCAAACAGATACGCGCGGATTTTAAGGTACATGAATGATCTATGACATTTTATGAGGAAATGTTGACGCGCGTCTTGAATAACGATGAGGTTCTCTTCGATGATCGTGTCTTTCATTTGTCGAAGCGATAATTATCGCGTAGGTTGACGCGATAATACTCTTATAAATACATATCTAGAGAAAAAAAATATCGCTATAAATAAATCTACATCTTTTATACTTTTAGATATATCAAGATAATTTTAATAACATTTTTGTTTTAAGTTACATTAATTTCTTATAATTTTTATATTTTTAGTTAACACATGTATTAGCATTTTAGATTTGATTTTTTACATTTTATGCATTTAGATTTTTTTAGATTTTATGTCATTAGTTTTTATTCATTGATTATATTGTATTTAAAATATTTTATGAAAAAAAACTAAAATTTTTTGATCATAGAAATCGTGTATACGCGATTTTAATGGAGGTCAAGAAGGTGGATGACGTTTGAAATTATCTGCGTTTCTCATCCGCGAAGGAATGCTAGTGTTTTACTAATATTTAATGAGCAAGTGTGCTTCCTGAGCGTCGTTTACATTTCGAATTTAAATTCTCAACAATTCCCCGTCTTCTGGTTAAATAAAGGTGCTTCAAACACTTTTTTTTTTTTAAAGTATCTCGCCAGTTTTCAAACGGGAACAAGCGGTTCGAGGAAAGATATATACGAATATTTCCCCTGGAAGCGATATTTTTTCATTTTCTTCCCTCGCATTTTATTCTGATAACATTAGCTTTAAAAAATATTATATGAATACCATTATATTTTCAACTACATATAATTATAAATATGTGTATGGGATGTGTGTAAATTAATATCATATTTAATAAATTACCCGAGTTACACACATACAGATATATATTTGTTCAACGCATTGAACTCATTAATCCAGATTTATTTATGTCAGTCATTGAGACGTATCAAATTACACATCGTGCAGTAAATTACGGGTCCTTTCCTTTATTCGAATTAAATTTTCGATGCATTGCCACGAGCGCCAAATGAAGAATTTATTAACAATTTTGTGGTTGCTTTTCGCAATTGATTAAACTAACGGCTTCTCTCGCAAAAGCGCGGGATGCAATTTAGATATTATTAAATCCATTTGGTCGTTTTGCCAATCGAACTGGGAGAATTGCATTCGTTATCTACCGCAACCCAGAAGTCGTACTTTGGATTTGTCGCGATTCGATAGCGCATTCGATGCCACCACGGATTGGAAAGTGGTTTCCCGCGTGAGATTAATATCGTTATCGACTATGGAATATCGGTGACATAGCAATCTATAAATGTTTCTGTAAGAATTCACCGAAAACTTTGAATTTATCCGAGATACTTTGCAAATTGGTTATTCTCGTGTAATTTCACAAAATGGTTCTAATTATTTTCCGAATTAATTATAGAGAGAGAGAGAGAGAGAGAAATTTTATAATTTTATAACAATTTCACAAATTTTTTCAAAATAATAAATGTAATGCATCCTAAATATGTAACGTTTATATATCGATAGAGATACAGAAAGAAACATAAAAAAAATACAAATATGTCTGCTTAAAGATAATTAAATCGTTATTAATTTTCATTTTTAATACTTTAAGCAGATCTGTGACTATAATCTGTGTGACAATAAAATATATTAATATATATATATGTATATAATGATACTATCATGTCATAGAATATCATCTCTCACTCAATCTCTCTTTCATTCAAAGTTTTATTATTCTTCTGCATCTTAAAAATACAATGTGTTTGAAATGTCAAGTGTTTTTCAGATCTGTCGTATAAAAACTAGCCTGTATGTTTGTATATGACTGAGTCACTATTTGTACTACCAATAGATGTTCAAGTTGTCCTCTCAAAAAAGCCACAGAAACATCGGTGGACACAGAGCGTGATATTAAAAAGTATCATGCCCAAATCCGCCGTGTAAATGCCACCGTGAGGGATATCATCCAGCGTCATACTCGATATGAAATACTGAAAAGTTCTCTTCAAACCGATACTTTAGGATGCCGACACAAGCCGGTCAGAATATATAGAAATAATTGAAAGAGAGAAAGAAAAAAAGCAATTATCTTGCAATTAGACAAATTAAATAGAGCATTAATTAACGAGCACACACTGTGTTGCATCAATTCTATAATAAAGATATTGATCGAAAATGATGCTTCGTGCATCTCTTTATAAAACATTGCAATATTTAAAGATTGTTTCGTAAAAATTCAATTTGTTTTTATTAATTTATTGTCAAAAATAAGTAGTATTGATTTGTTTCGAGATACAACGCAGTAATCTCTTTTGCTCGATATAATGTAATACTTGATTATAGCAAAGAAAAGTGCCCTAAACGCGATCTATTCCGAACTTACCCTTCGTGAGAGAGTGGCGATTGTGTGCAGAACTGGACCTTTGGTTAGTTTCCTCAGGAGCGGCTCCAGCTGCAAAAGAAAATTTCTCATATAAAACAGCTTCCTCCTTCAATATCCTTTAGTTTTTAGTTATTAAAGATTCGAGTGTATATTATGGCACAGTGTATAAAAACTTAATTAAAAGTATCCTGCGATATACGGTTTCAAACGCTTCGAGCATCTTGCGCCGGCGTATTAGTATTCTAGTACACCCTCATAAATCCCCCTTGCACTGGTAACAACTGGTGTCATACCGTGGAAGGTACAGGAGGCACAGAATTTAATCAAAGTTACTATTTAAAGTTATCGCGATTAAATTCTGAATTTGATGTATAATTATCGATTAATTTCTGCAATAATTGATTGCATTATGTCAAATAATTCGTAATCTTAAAACTAATATGAAATATTTCAGTTTTTGAAAATAAAACGTCGCAATAACATCATAAAGATGAAAGACGAATTTCCGAAGTTTGTCATTGAACGTGAGAAAATTTCGCATGTCACTTTTAATCACAAACAAATTCAAAATGTCGGCAATGAAAGTAGCGAGACGTTTACACGTGACGTGAAGAAATTACATTACACTGACGAGCATCGAGCGATACAGGGTTGTATACTTGGTGCATTACGCGTACACGTGTATACGGTGGTTGAACTTTGACATTTCTCGCGCGGAGAGGGATCCTTGCTTTACTTGGAGACATTCACCGATTCAATTGGGTGGAACTCGGGCGCGTATTCGAGTCAGTGAAAAGATTCAATATGCAGGCTCGTGTCCTCTGAATGAGGCGTATATCTTGAACGTAATTCACCTTGAGACTCCAGTGGATCTCGTTCTTATTTGTGCAGATTCCGAGGATTTTTATTGCTACCTGAATTCAAGTATGATTACAATCGAAAAGCAAATGATGCAAAGGGATGTTATATTTTCTAAAAGAGTTGAGCTATCTGTATAAATTTCGATTTCAGTCTGGAAAAATTATTTTTCAAATACAAACGAGCAATATATTTTTTATATAAATGATATAGTTTATTTGATATTTTATTATAATATATTTTAAAAGAAGGAAAGAATAACGAGATGTTTAGAGATGTCTACATTTACACAGTTAATTTTTTTTTTTAATGTTAAAATTAATAAAGAATAATTTTTTTCATATTAATATAGTAGGCGAATCACACTATTTTTAATTTCATCTAGCAATTATTTAAAAAAGTCAATTATTTCGTCGTATCTATATAAAGAACGGCGGAAAGGAGTACTTAGGTCCCGACTGCGAGATAAGATTTTGAGTGAGAAAATGGGAAGAGGATAATTCGAGTTGGCGGTGAATCTCCCTTCCTATAGCGGATGTGCCATAGTTTAAAGTATCGGGTGGTAGATAATGACGCGGAACAACGTCAGATGAGAACGCTAACGATGATAACGCGAGACGCTTATGGGGTAGAAGAAGCATTTTATCGCGTGTCGTCGTCGTTCGTCATCGATGGCGGCTCTTACGAGAATAGCTCTCGAGTTAAATTCGTTATTAAGCCATCGTCGTCTAGCGATAATGAGAACGGACAGGATGAAACGCTGATCAAGATTGTGATCAAGAGACGTCGTCGAGACATAATCTCTGCACTAACGTGCATCGCGAAAGAAAAAGCAAGATATCAAACGATAAACCGGAGGGACTCTTTGTGGATTAAAGATACGATTGTGTCGGAGGTACTTTGGAAAACGTCGTGGCAATTTGTCAGGATTGAAAGAGAAGCTTAAAAGGAGGGCTCGAAGGACTCAAAGGCGGGGTTTAACGACTTTCTTGTTAGGATGTTGTAAAGTACAATAATTATTGGTTTTACGATACGTTGAAGATGTATAGATATTTACGCTACTCTTAATTCTGTCAGTAAATAAGTAAAAGTAATTTCTTACTAATTCAAATTTGTTAAGTCTTGATTTATACGAGGATGCATACCAATCGAACAACAAAGTTGTATCCGTTGTATGAAACGTTTAGACGGAAATAGAGTAGTTCTATAATTTATAAAATTCACTTTAAAGCGTACCCAAAACAAACATTAGAAATTATTAATTATTCTCTTAGAACATAACACCCGCGGGTCTAAAGGCATTAGTGTGTCACTGTCAAATCTTTAGAAAGCCTCGCACGAAATCTCTAAATATTTCAATATTTCCAGACTGTTATCTTGAAGGCTTGAATCACGAGAGGCAAGCGAATCGAAATCGCATTTACCGTGTCACCGAGAATGCGAATGGCGTCTCGCGTGAATTTAGACATACACTTTTCGAAAATACTGTAGCGGGGATACATATCGGGATGGAACAAAACGGCAGTGCGGAAATAAGCATATACGCGAGCTCTTGTATCTGCATAACGAGTAGTACCGCGTGACACTACGTAACCTCATGATTACGAGAGAGAATCGTAAATGTGATCACGTCATTGCTACCTGACTGCATCTGTTTGTACAAGGATACTATGTGAAAACGTCCGCCGGCGAGAAACTCTATAATCCAACCTGCGAAGATTTAAGGATCTACTCGAGTTTAAAGAGCACGACGGAGACAAAAAAGCGCTCTATTTTAAATTTATAAATATTTTTTTTCTAAATATTGCTGAATATTATTTAATATTCAAATAATTCTAAATGTAATTTATAAAGACATATTGAAATATAATTTGATTTTTTTTTTTATAAAAGACTCATATAGGTGCGATTGCGAAAAATTAACTTCTATTCATTTTTCGGAAAAATAATCCACCTTTCATGCAAAATTGGGAATTTCTGGACACACAAAAGCTAGTGGCGTATATCAGGCCGCCGGTGGCATTTCAATTTTTAAACGGAGTCTTTTGTGTTCCTACGTGAGCTTGCCTGGAGGTACTTTCGGGACGTGTAACAATTCTTATCGCATCTCGACAGTTCAGAATTACATTCTCCCTACATTGCTACTTAGAGGAAAAAGCGGGAGTATTCACCAGCGCTCATAAATTTTCGAACATTCTCATGCAAAATAATCTGAAAAAAACTAAAGGTGGATATATGCATATGTGAAAAAATTCAGAGGATGCGATATATTTTATTTAATAAAGTTCCCAAATTTTCAAATAATTTTGTTGATTTCAAAATTGTTTCTACGCAAAACTAGATAGAGCCTGGATCACGCAAAAGTAAAAAAAAACAGTACAGATATAAAAAAACGCATTATATAGAAATATAAATTCTGTTATTTCTAGCCGAGTATTACGTGAATAGTGATGGAGCAAACTCGGTTTCTTACGTTACATAAGAAATCGCCACGCAAGCGACAAGATCGATTTGCATAAATCTTGGCGGAGACTCTATTATTAATAAATTATCAATAAGAGCGTGTGAGAATGTCGAGTTATATATAACGCGAATTCTTCGCTTCCTGAAGTTGCGTGATAACAATAGCGATATTTATTTGCAGGTTGTTACAGGGATCGGTGATTAGGTGATTATCTCGCCGCATCGAATGCACTTTAAGGTCCCGAAAGTAAACGTCAGCGGCCGTATAACTAGTTGGCAAATACACGCTAACGCGTTTAGCATGTTCGGTCATTCGTGTATACGCACACTAGATATATAATGTGGCCAAAATGCAAATCGAACGCTTTCAGATCGGTTTTAACGTTCGATAATTTACACAAGAGTTAAGTAGTCTGTATTGCTTCGACAGTCCATGAAAAATGTGTGTAAGAAGTTCTATTAGATTAGCTCTTCTACGAACAATTCTTGAATAAATGCAACAGACTTGAGAAATGTTCCTATTATCATATTTAGATTCTATAAAATTACGCGTTTAAGACAATTTTATTTATCCAAAGATTTAGATTTGCCAGATTGTAATTTTATCTGATACAAAATTCATAATTTTATGGATAAAATATCAATAATAATTTATATATAGCTAGATTTAAATAGCGTAAAATATGGCAGAGTCGTGCAACTTCAATTTTTCTCTTCAATAGCATTAACAGTTGATTACGTCCATGTAATCGGGGGTCTCACGGATCGATATAATGAATTTGTATTGGCCGATTTATCGGTACGCCGAAGAGAGTTAATTACCGTCAGGCGCCGATAAAGAAATAGCAGGTGCTCGCTTTCCGGAGCGTTCCGACGTGCGCCGGTTAATTATCGGCGACACGATGCCCGTAGTCCATTCTCTCTCTGCTCCTCCTACGTACTTTGAAAAGGCGCTTAAATTGCCGATAGCGCAATCCCTCCCTGAGAGAGAGCTACGCGTATCTCGATCGGACAATGGAGCCTCGCGTCGCAATTAAATCGTCAATCATCAGAGTCGCTAATTGCGATATCCTAGCATTCTGGTGGACCTCTCGCAAACGCGAGAGTGTTAAGGTAAACGCGCATCTTCTGTTCGTATCTCGATAAGTTCCCGTAGAATCGAGCCAATTAACGCAACGAGATTCGATAATGAGGAGACAATCGAAAATAAAAAATGCATTAATAAAAGAATATATACTCACGAGAAACTTATCATCAGAAGTTTTAATCTTTTCACTCAATATGTACATATTTGCTCTGGAGCGCTACTAAATTTTGCAGTTTTTAATCTAAAGCTAGAAATGTTTGAGATTTTTTTCTTATTATTTATCATATATTCACAAAAGTATTAAAATTGAATTCGATGCAACTGATCAAATTGATTCATCATATATTAATATTGCTATTTTCAGTCGTGAATAGTTTTTATCAAAACTAGTCTCGCTATATTTAAAAGAACGCTGCTTTTGTAAGGGAGTAAATGTACACTAAATATATTGTTCTTAAATATAAGAGAATGTAGCAGAAGCAATGGATTTTTTTGCGAACTGTCAATGAGAAAGTGAGCCGATGTCGTTCATTTTCCTCATCAAGACAATGCCGAGGCAAATCTTAAAAGAGAATGCCACGGAGAACAGCAATAAACGGGAAAGGGCGACAGCTACCATCAGACGGTAGATATATTAATTTAACGGTCGGGTAGTCTAGGA